CTTCTAATGAGATTCAGAACTATGCTGTATCAGAGTCTTCTGCAGCATGTGTGCTTTCAGCGTGTTGATCATCAGAGCATTTTTGACACAGAGCTTCAGTACTAGGCAGCGTAGGTACTTTCAGAAACTCCTGTAGACTAATGCTTTAAGAAACTCTTCAATCAATATTCTTCTATGCTTCAGATGCTTCAGCTTCAGATGCTTCTGATTATCTTCAGATGCTTCTGACTCAGAATGTTCTGGAGCTTCTTGCTTCAGATCCTTCTGGAGACTACGCTCAGGATCTTCTGTAAGGAGCAAACAGATTCTTCTGTAAGGTGCATCTGGCGCTTCAGAGTCAGAATAACTTCTTGTATTCAAAACAGATTTGCTTCTAGAGAGTTAATATTATTTCAATCTGCAGTAAAACTCTCAAACAAATTTTAGAGTATATAATTCTTAAATATAAATTTCCTAACAGTTATCATCAAAACAAAGAGTTATTATTAAGAACCAATCTGTGTTCTAACACAATTGTGATTGAAGACCCTTCATCAAAAGAAAGTTGGACAGTTAACGGAAAAAGGTTGAAAGTGTACCTTGGTGGTGATGTTGTTACGGATGTAAGAACAATTTCTTTTGGTGATCCTTGAGTCGCTTTTGACCGTCGAGGTCAAACGACGTTAAACAAAGCGCTTGTTGGGAGGCACCCTAACATTGTGAGTATTATTTTTTTTACTGCATTTGTTAGTGTTGGTATTATGAAAGAGTGTTGTGATAAACCAAAAATTAAATAAACCATAACTTTTGAAGTTACTGTCATGTTGGCCCTCAGTTTGTAGTGCGAACCTGGGGCGAATAAGTTCATTGTGCGAAAAATTGTTCGCACTGTGAACATGGCAGATTCTGGACTGTTGGTGAGTTTATGCTACAACACTTTTATGTTGTTTTTTGTATAGTAATGTTGCATTTCCTTTTCTTTATTTGACCTGAGGATATACTTTTTTGAAAAGGAGGGGGCCGTTAGAGTAATTTTTAGTTTCTTTTATGGTTGTTTGGTAGCTTGTTTTGAATTTAATGTCTTCTTTCTTTGATGAATGAATGTGAGAACTTTCAGATTGGTTGCTATTTGCTAAAAGTATCAAATGAAGATTCTCCCAAGTTTGAATGGTAATGGTAGTATTTGAACATGTGAATGCAAGCAAGATAAACTGTATCGCTTCTTAGAATGCTAGAATGATTCATGAATTTTGTGATTTGTGCAAATATTTATTTTTGTTTTATGTTACAACTTTGTTTGAATGCTTGTTTCAATTAGGTCCAATAGCCACAAATTTTGAGAAACCTCCATTGTTTACTATATGCTTAGGATGACTGATAAACTTTTTTTTAATATGTTTGATTCATGCTTAATCTTGTGATTTTTTTGATTTTGTGGAAGTATTAGCAATGATCAAAGAATTTGTTGATATTGAGCGCAACCATATCCCAAAAAAAGTAACTTATCCGTGAGTAGTGACAATTTGCTAACCCCTTTGAGCTTAATAGTTTAGATCTTAATTTAGTGATGAACTTGGTGTATGTACATAAATTAAAAGATAGTTCATTGAATTTTGTGGGATTTTAAAAAACATTCTTGAACCTTTGAATATTGTTTTAAATTGATTTCCTTGCCATAAAAAGTAAGGAGCGTTCACTTGAGGTTTGGTTGAATTTAAGTTGGGCTGAGTGAAAAGAAAAATGTAGGTTACTCAAAGTTTTGAAAAAAAATTTCAAACAATCATTGAAAAAGAAAATTGTTAATATGAATGCGAAAAAGAAAAAGAAAAAGCATGCTTGTTTGAAAAAGAAAAATAGAGAATGAAAAATGTGCATAAAGGAAGTTTAGAAGTGTGAGCAATTGAGTAAATAAAGTGTTGGATGAAGTTTTAATGTGTAAATAACCTTGTATAGTGAATGTTTCTTTTACATCAGCAACTTTGATTTCATGGCCTTAGATATGTCCCTTTGTTATGAACCTAAACAAGCTACAACCTTACAAGTCCATAGTGATCTTCTTACTTACATAATTTCATTTGTGATTATAAGATGAATGTATGAATGTGATTTTTATTTGCATTGTTTGTCAGGTGAGTGAAATTGCCCCGCGGTTGCAAACGTGTTAATTTCTTTATTCTCATTTTGAAGAGTAGTGTTGGAGTGATTCAAGCATGATAACTTAGTTGTTATTTGAAATATTGCATGATATTTGTTTAAGAACTAAATTTTTTATCATTGTTCGATTCTCGGAAGTGGTGAGCACTGCTTGTGTGCATTTGTATGTTTAATTTGAGCCATAAATTCATTCTTGGTTGAATTAAACACTTGAGAAAATCCTCTTGTTTTTAATGAGAGGCATAGTTTACTTGAGGACAAAGAAAAATCTAGTTGGGGAGAGTTTGTTGAATGCCAAACATGTCTTATTTTGATCCATATTTATTGGTATTTTTCAACTCATTTGTTAAGTTTCAATGGATTTATTCCATGTTTCAATGCTATTCTTCAATTATGTTGCAAATACCTTTGATTGTTTTGATATGTGTGTTTTTGTGCAGGATTTAGGCACAAACTATCAAAGATCAAGACACAAGTGAATGGATAAGGAAGCCAAAGAAAAGAAGAAGATTTAGCATGTTCATTGTGCAGACAACAACGAGGTGCCAACGTATGTTCGTTGTGCGAGCTCTTGGAGAAGCTCCATCGAACCATCCCAGATTAGAGGCAGTAAGAAAAGGACCCTAAGTTCATTGTGCGAACTTGTAGCAAAGAAGCTCGCTGGGCAAAGAAGTGTTCGCACTGTGAACATAGATATTTCCTCAAGGGAGGTTTAACTATTCAGAGGAACTTTAGGTGCCACAAAGTTGTCTTCATTATGCGAAGAAGGTGTTCACTGGGTGTTTACCATGAAAATAAGTAAACAACTGATGGCCTTCCAAAATTTTGGTTTACTTGCAGGATCAACTAGTGATTCCTACGGCCATAGCTATTGTATTAATGTATTTCTGGAAAATTGATGAACACTTCAACATCATTCATTAGTGTAAAAATATTATTTTGATTATTTGTTGAAAAGATTAAACTTTACAAAAGTTTATAAAGGAAATGCAGTGAAGAAAATAACTCCAAAATAAAAGAAATGCACTAAAGAGCAATTGAGAAAAGAAAGTAAATTATTATTAAATAAAATGAATGGTGTTTCAAACGTGCATTTCTCAACAGTAACTCTTTTCTCACGTTAACTTGGATACTTTGAGTAAATTTTGAGTATAGTTACAACAATTGAACACATTGTAATCCTAAGACTAAGATCCATATTTATAATATATCGAAATAACTATCTCCAACAAGCATTTCTCCAGAAGTTGACACGTTTTGCCCTGCATGCCTTTGTTTCACCATGTTATCCACGCGTCTCTCCTGAGAAATGGATAAGGACAAAAGATGGTTACCTATCCGTATATTGAAATTAAAATTTATTTCGAAGGAAGACTTCAAAACAACCCTTCGTCAAAGTGATCTTCTATACTTAGAAAATATTTCTAAGTTTTGTCCAAGCATGTCTCCTTATGAGAAGCACTTCGATAGAACTTCAAATTAACTTATGTCGAAGTCCAACAAATTAACTTCAAATTAATCTCTTAATTATTTTTTGTGTCAGATTGATTCCTTAACTATTTAAAACGTGTCATATTGGTCATTTTTGTCTAATTAACGACGGATTTTTGAATATTTTTCGTTGTTAATTAGACGAAATGACCAATATGACACGTTTTAAAGATTCAAGAGACCAATCTAATACACAAAATAATTAAGGAACCAATTTAAATATAATGGTATAGTTAAAGGATCAAAATAATATTTAGTCTTTTTAAAATAAAATTTTTAACCGAAGCATTTTAAAATTTATAAAAAGACCCTAATGTTTTTGTATAATAATGAATTTTATCATTTAAAAAAGAAGAGAGAGCTTGGAAATAAAGAGAGTTGAGCTTTAACATTTGAGTTTTAGATAATTTTAAATTTCTCAGAATTTTTAATTACATTATTCAAATTCACTATAACAATTTTATAGGTTTGTAAATAAATTATTTTAAGGTAGTAGAATCATAGAAGACTGACTTATTGAGTTTTTTAAATATTCTTTTACTTTATGCAAATTGTATTATTAACAATTCATTCCTGATTTTTTTTTTAAAAGAATGTCTCAAAGTTCTTTATAATTCGAGAGATATAAAATTCTTTGTGAATATTCTTCATTCTCTAAACAAAATATCACTGATCGTAATTGCAAGAGATCGAAGTGTAATATTTTGTATAATATTCAGCATCAATCACCACCGAAACAATTAATTATTACTATTTCATTATTTCTGTATGAGACTATAATTAGTATATACTTACTTGTCCATTATCCGCTACAAAACAAAATACCACACGATAATAACATGTGTTACGATAAATTAATTACTAATTGCAGGTACTTTGTCTCCTTCATAAGTAGCTATTTGTCCAAGTATATTACCAATATTCCAGAGTTTGGTTACGTAGGAACAAAATCTTAAATTCAACAAGTAAAAGCGACTTCTTGCTTGTAATTAGTTACTAGGTCACTACTACACCTATTCTCTAATTTATCTTTTTCCAACCACCCTAACCCTACTACTATTCCCACCCCCTTTAACATTATTTTAGTTCAACATTAATCATCCTTCATAAACAAAACTATCCACATTAGGAATTAATTATTTCACTCCTACACAAAATACCGACCACATTAAGAATAATCATATTCAACTCTAACACAAATTATTCAAACGTTATTTTCATGCTTCAAGAAATGTCACATTCAATATTAAATATTTTATTTTTTGTTTCTCTTTTACTTCACATTGCTTCAATTCTCACTTATACTTCTTTAAAATCAAACCTTCTTTTCAAATTCTCTCAAATTTTCAGAATCTCTTCTTACACTTCAAACCAAAATGAAGAACACAAACACCAACACAAAACTCATTCTTCTTCATCCATATATCCAAAAACAAGGAAACTCAAATCGATTATGGCTTCTAGCATTCATATCAATTCTCACTTTAGCTTTCCTTGCAACACTCATTTACACGAGAGACCGAGAATCATCCTTAAACAACACAAACACTTCCATTATTTCATCTGTTATTAGTACCAACGCTGTTTCTGCACCATTACCGGCAACAGTTATCAACACTCTTCTTCACTATGCTTCAAAATCCAACGACACATACCACATGACATACTCAGATATCAAACCAATCTCCGACGTGCTTCGAAAATGTTCATCGCCATGTAACTTGCTGGTTTTCGGTCTCACGCCGGAGACGCTTCTATGGAAAGCACTCAACCACAATGGAAAAACAGTGTTCATTGATGAGAATCGGTATTACGCAGCGTATATAGAAGAAAAACACCCTGAGATTGATGCTTATGATGTTCAATATACAACGAAAAGGAGCGAGATGAAAGAGTTAATAGCTTCAGCTAAAGAGCATGTAGCAAATGAATGTAAGCCAGTGCAGAATCTTTTATTCTCGGATTGTAAACTCGGAATTAACGATCTTCCAAACCATGTTTACGAGGTTGATTGGGATGTTATATTGGTGGACGGCCCGCGCGGGGATTGGCCGGAAGCTCCCGGACGAATGTCTGCGATATTTACCGCCGGCGTGTTGGCTAGAAGTAAGAAAGGTGGGAACCCTAAAACTCATATTTTCTTGCATGATTTTTCTGGTGAAGTGGAGCAGGTTTGTGGGAATGAGTTTTTGTGTAAAGAGAATTTGTTGGAAGCAAGTGGAAGTATGGGGCATTATGTTTTGGAAAGGATGAATGAGAGCAGTGTTCAGTATTGTAAAGGGTCTTCATCATCAACATCATTATCCACTTAGTGCATGTCTAAAATCGCGGTGAATTTGACGAAATCACAATGAGATCGTGATTTTATTAAAAAATTTGACGACGTGATTCAGAAAATTTTACCGTAAATTTAGACATGCATTTATTTAGTTGGGATCTTCTTCGATTCAGATTTGTAATAATCATGTTAGTTACACAATTGGTTATTTTACCCTAATGGTGTTTTGGGTATTTATCATCCATTTTATTCCCCATTTGTGTTTGTATGTTGTTTGAAGCTTGTAAAAATTAATAATTCTTTTGTTTTTTATTATGATGGCAATGAAAATTGTGATTAGATCCATGAATTCAATGTTTCTAAGTTTAATTGAGTGGAGTTAGTTGGAATATCACATATGGTGTCTTAAAAAAATAGCATGAGGTTGTTTAAATGATTAATTAGTTTTATGATGAGTCCACGACCACGACTATTACAACTAACTTGTTGAGTGTAAAGTTACTTTGCTGTCTCTGAAAAAAAACAAAAAAGAATAAAGGTTGCTTCAAAGTTCAACTACTACGAGTTTGTTAAGTAAACTTACATCATAGATAAATGAAATTGAACCAATCCAATTTCTTTGGTTGCTAAAGAATCAACATCATCTATTCCTATGTCGGTTTAGACTCTCTCTCCTCTCTTTTTTTTAATTCAATCTCACAGAATTTGCATATAAGTGATGCAGTACTTGTCTAGACTTTAACAACTTAATGAGGGACTTGAATTTTTAGATTTTTTAACCCAGTACCCCCTTTTGAAAAAAAAAATACCAAAATATCCCATTTTGAAAATTTTTTATCAGGATATCCTTTTTTTGTATGGGCTCGTCCATTCATTGGACCAACTAGTTTAATCCACTACATGCTCGCCCATTGGAAGGACGAGCTAGTGGAGAATTTTTAGGCTCATGAGCTCGTCCATTGAAAGGACGAGCGTGTGTTAGTTTTTTTTTTTCTGAATTATATTTATGTATTATTAGATTTATTTATTAAAACATTTAATATTTATTTATGATAATTAATAATAAAATAATAATAAAATTTTAAGTATAATTAATAAGAAAAATAATACTTAAAATTTTACTTAAAATTTTAAGTAGTCATGAAACAGAATTTTTCTTATTAATTATACTTAAAATTTTATTATTTATTCAAATTAACATTAAAATTTTATTATTTATAAAAATTAACATTAGTAATTTTATTATTTATAAAAATAAACATTAGTAATTTTATTATTTACAATTCATAAATAAATAAATAAAAATGTATTAAAAAATAAATATACATAAAATTAAAAATTAAAAAAAATAAAATTTTATTATTTATTAAAATTTATATTATTATTTTATTATTAATTATAATAAATAAATATTAAATGTTTTAATAAATAAATCCAATAATACATAAATATAATTCAGAAAAAAAAAAAAAAAAACTAACACACGCTCGTCCTTTCAATGGACGAGCTCATGAGCCTAAAAATTCTCCACTAGCTCGTCCTTCCAATGGGCGAGCATGTAGTGGGCTAAACTAGTTGGTCCAATGAATGGACGAGCCCATATAAAAAAGGAGGTATGCTGGTAAAAAATTTTAAAAGTGGAATATTTTAGTATTTTTTTTTTTTCAAAAGGGGGTACCGGGGTAAAAAAACCTGAATTTTTTTAATACACCTCTCACATCCAAGGATATTTGAATTAGGTATGGAAATTTGGGGAAAAAAAAGAATTTGGTATCGAAATAATATTTATGGTACATCTCCAATTGAGGATATGTCTTGTCACACCAATCATATTTTACACCCGCAATTAGTGTGCTTTATTATATTACTTATTCAATCAAGAATGTCAAGAATGAATGTATCAGATACATCCATTTTTTAATAAATTAAAAAATTAAACTTTTTATTATATTAAAGATCAAAATAATATTTCATTAATCATTGATAATATTTTGAATATTTTCAAAAACTCTCATATTTATCAGATTTTTTGTCAAGAATTTTTATAAGTATATAATTTTATCGGCATTTTAAATTTTATACTAGATTTTTCATTAAAAAAACATGCAGTTTTATCGGCATTTTCAAAATGTTTGATAAAATCTCATGTTTTCCATGAATTATTATCAGCATTTTTGAAAAGCCCGATAAAAATATCATATTTTTCATGCATTTTTATCAAATATTTCAAAAAATCTAATTAAAATGCATGTATTTCTATCGGTTATTTTAAAAATTTTGGTAAAATTGAATACATGCATATTGAATTTTTCAAAAAAATGATAGAAGAAAATATTAGGATTGTTGGATATTTCAAAAAATCTAGTAATTTCCTATTGATTTTCAGATTTTTAAAAAATTAGGTAGTTTATATTTCATTTTATTTTTTAATGAGGACCAAAGTAAAGGATGGTGCGATTGATTCTAGGTAGTTTGACAGAGCTGCATAGAGGGCTCGTGCGAGGGCAGTTGACGTCGAGGATTTGCATATCTGGGCGGAGAGAGTAGCCCCGGTCGGTTCTCACATAAGGCATATGGCTGAGCAGGCTCACACACTCCGCAATATTTGATGTGGAAGAGCTAGATTTGATGGACGTGTTAGAGATATTGTGGATGAGTCTGATGTTATGGTTAATGAGGATGTCGAGACAATAGCTGGGAAGGTGGAGAGTCATTATGACAATATCACATGTAGGTGGGTGGCCAAGATAGAAGTGACCCATCATACTGAGACAGAGGCCTTAACTAATATGGGGATTTATCCTTAGGCTGATATAGAAGTGACTTCTCATGTAGATATAGAGCCTACTGCTTTTCCAAATATAGAGGTGAATGTACGACTATTGATATTAAAGTTACTCTTCTGCCTAATACGAAGGCGACTACTCTAGTTTTGATGGAGTCGTATTTACACACCAATAGAGAGTTTCCTATAGGGCCCAATGATCGTTTCGTGCTCACCGAATTTGCCGATCATGTGGAATTTAATTATATTATAGAAAGGAGAGGTATATATATTTTATTTTGAACTTGTTTTTATTTATTATTGATACGTAGAAATTAATTGATTCTTTTTACTTTCTTTGTTAGAGAACCACATGCTGCTAAAGGTGCCCCACCCACGAGAGGAAGCTGAAAAAGTTCTTAAATGTTCTGGTGCCTAGGGATATCAAGAAGATTGTCGATTACTGCAGTCTCTTTTCATTGATGGATTGTTTGGTGACCATGTACGACGTTGCATTATTGCAACTTTTTTTGAACGATGGCATAAGGAGACATCTTCCTTTCATCTTCTATTTGGTAAAATGAAGACTACTTTGGATGATATCTCCTCCGTGTTCCATCTCCCCTTGCTAGGTAGTTTCTTCATCGTTGCTCTCATTAACTAGGAACTTGCATATATTACTACTATATGAGACTTGGGGTTACTTAGGCGCATGTGAGATATGCGTTTAAAATAAGGGTGCTCATATTCACCTATCTTGTCTCTGGGATAGGTACTCGGAGCTGGTGCAGTAGTCTACGTACAAGGCAACCACTAGGGTATACATGTAACACCCCGAAAACCCAAGCACATCTTTGTAACATAATCCGAGTATATTTTCCACCAAAGGGTGTCACAAATTTTCAACATAAACATTTTTCATCAATTAACATATCGCACTGGAATTTAAAATATTTAATAACATCTCTTCATAGTATCAAAATAGAAATTTCTTTAATTGAAATAAAATAAATAGTTCAATAACAACTCAACAATAAACGGAGTAAATAAACAACAATCTCATCCCAATGTTAAGTATCAGAGCGACACCAAGTACTAGATGTCACACCCCAAAATTTTCCCTACCTTTTCTCATACTTATCTGGTTCATGATCCTTTGTTCCATCTGCTTCACCATGGCAGACATTTCAATTTATCATACAATACATCATTCATTTCATTACATCATTCAGAGGTTCAGGTGGATGAATAATCCAAGAGTTGATTGTTTACAATTAATTCTCTATTCGCAATTCATTTGTATCATTACCATTCATCAACATATTTTAAAATGAAAGTAAAAAAAATTAAGTTTAACTCAGTTGACTTTTTGTTGCTAATTCATGTGCAATTGGTTCAAAGTTCCCTTGCATTATTTACATTTTTGCATATTTTTACTTTTCTTACCATCTTATATCAAAAGTTAATTAAACTTACATTTTTAATATTTCAATTTATATTTCAAATATTAAATTTTTATTTTAATTAATTTTTAATATAAAAAATAAAATAAAACAATTACATTCTCATAATTCATATTCATTCAAACACCCACATAGTCAAGAGTTCTTCACAAGCCATCCAACCATCCATTGTAGCTCTTGGTTTTCAAAATGGTTGTGGTGTTGCTATTGAAGTTGTAGTTCTTTTGCCTAGTAGATATGTACCATGTCAAAGAAGTCTCGATGGTCTATTAGACTGCAAAGTACTGAACTTCACGGTTGAGAAGCACTTGTTTAAAGAATTTACGAAGATTGTGTCTTCATCTGATTTTGATATATTGATGGGCTGCGATAAAAGTACAAAATGTGAAAATATCTATACAATGTCAAAGATTATGGTCATAGTCAAATTATGTGGTCATGGTAAAGGATTTTGGTCAAGGATTATGGTTGAATAAAGTCACAATTTGTAGACCAACAAAGAAACACCCATGGTTTTGTAACAACTCCATGGTTTTTTGAAGATGAGCACCTATAAATAGAGGTACATTTCTCATTCCTAACACAACAACATAAAATATTGCAACATAACATAAAATAAAAATTTAGAGAGATAGAATATATTGTATTTTCTCCTATAAGGTTCTTTTAGTGAGTGTTCTCCTATTACAAGAGAGTGTGTAATTTGTTCTCTCCTTGTATATATAGAGAGAAGTATTGTAATTTCTTCCACTTAGCGAAAATCTTTTCTACCGATGCCTGTGGTTTTTCCCTCATTTGTTGAGGGTT